TTACAAAAGCATGATTCTGGGCAATGTACGACAATTAAAAAGAAAAATCAATACATTTATAAAAGCAATCATCTTTTACAAAAAGTGTAGTCCCCTCTGAAGGAGATGGGCAGTTTAGAAATAGGAAATACCGTATAATAAATAAAGCCTATAAAAGCATATGAGCAAAGGAGGAGGATGCGAACTGTCATAAGAAAGACTTGTAATTGCAAGATCTCCCCAGCCCCCACACCCAAACCATTCAAAGATGCAGGTTGTCCTTTATTTAGTATGATAGCTGGCACCAGAATTTCTGTTGCTAGGCAAGATAGTTGTTAAATGATTCACACCTGACACTTTTGTTATAGTTGTTAAGTAAATCACTAAAGTTGTTAAGTGAATAATGTGGTCATTAAGCAAACCCAGTTTCTCTCATTGATTCTGCTTATCAAAAGGAGACCCAGAAGGTTGCAACAGGCAATCACATGACTCCAGGACACTTGCAGTCATTGTGCATACATGCCAGTTGCCAAGTGCTCAAATTTTAATCAAGTGACAGTGGGGATTCTGTAATGGTCGTAAGTGTGAGGACCAATTGTAGGCCACATTTTACAGTTCCGTTGTAACTTTGATCGGTTGCTAAATGAATGGTTGTTAAGTTGAGGGGTACCTGTAGTCATAGAAGTGGACATGCCTTTTCCATGATGTCCTCTACAGCAGGGGTCCCCAACCTGTGGGCCGTGGCCCACTACCAGGCCACAGTCTATTCACAACTGGGCCGTGTGAGTGGCTGGTTAGTGTGCGCCCGCACAGCCCCACTTGTGCAAAGATCTCTGGGGCTCGCGGCTCCACTCACATGAACGTCGTGGGCACTCAGGGCCTCACTTGCACAAGCATTGTGGGTGCTCGAGCCCAGTGGTGGGATTCAAATTTTTTTTAGTAACAGTTCTGTGGGCGTGGCTTGGTGGGTGTGGCAGGGGAAGGATACTGTATAATCTCCAGTCAGAGGTGGTATTTGCCGGTTCTCTGAACTACTCAAAATTTCTGCTACTGGTTCTCCAGAACTGGTCAGAACCTGCTGAATACCACCTCTGTTGCAACCCCACTTTTGCAAATAATGTGTGCACCCCCCCCACCTCCTCTGGTCCACCAACCTGGAAAGGTTGGGAAACTCTGCGTTAGAGGTATTTCTAGACATTTATGAGGTTTGGAAAACCAAAAAGCATGTTACCTACTTTTGCTATTTACATAAACGATGTTTTATTGATAGTCCAAGTACTCAAAGCACATCAGCTGGATCCAAAGTGCTAATAACAGGAGGCATATTAGTAAGGTTGTACTCAATTTTGTCTCTTTGGGTTTTCCTTTTTTTCTTGTTGACACTCCTTCCAGCATTTCTGGTTTAATGCTAATGTAGCCTGACAGCAATACAGCCATAGAGGCAATGGTCAAGAATGCTATGGGACCTGAATGCATAACATACCTCAGGAAGTCTAGGACTGCAGCTAGAAGTGATTATGTGCAGCAAATCACCAACAGTAATATAAACCAGCCCCCTAAGTTCTGCTATATTAAAACTAATCATTGGGAAGCAATGAAAGAAGAATGCCAAGAGTATACACACCCAACAATGTTATCTGAGAGCATTAAGGCCTTTCCAGCTGCCCAGTTAAAGAAACAGGCAGACCTGTTGAATGGCAGCAATATAGGGAGACGCCAGAGGCAGATGTATAAGATGTATTGTATAAGAAAAGGCACTCCTTTAATTGATCAAGAAACCCTAAATGTACAGACAATATAATATAGGAGCCCTCGTGATGCAGAGGTTAGAATGCAGGCTAACATCTGCCCTCTGTCTAGAGTTCTATCCTGATGGATTCAAGGTTGGTTCAGCTTTCCATCCTTCCAAGGTTGGTAAAAATGAGGACCCAGATTGTTGGGGGTCAATATGCTGACATTATAAACTTCTCAGAGAGCACTATAGAACATCCTTGGTCAGTATATAAGTCTGAGTGCTATTGGTATATAAAGTGACTGCCAATACAGTATTGGATGATGGACCCCACAGGTCAGATGGCATTCAACATGATATTGAGGGAGGAGGGGAACTGAAATCTTTCAAAATGCCAACAGTATTTATGATGCAGCTAGACTAAAACCTTTGGCACTTCTAGGTGCTGATGTTGCCAAACAGGAAAATAAATCTAATAATAAATAAAATAATAATAATTATTTATAATAATTATTTATTAAAAATAATAAATAAAGTGCGTGCATAAGCGCACCAATCGTGCCTACTGTCCCTGTCCTATTGTTTCTTTTTATTTTTCTTATACGTATCCATCTCATGTATTCAAAACTATGTTTATACTTATACCTGTTATCTTTTGTAAGCGATTGACAAATCAAATAAATAAATAAATAAAAATAAAATAAAAAATAAAAAATAAAAAATAAAAAAATCTGAAGTTGCAAAGATAGAATTACAGTGGAAACATAGAATGTAAGAAGCATGAACAGGAGAAAACTCAATATAGTGAAAAATGAACTCATTCTTCTACATATTAGGTATCAATGAATTGAAGTGGACTGGAATTGGGCAGTTTCTGTCAAAAGATTATACTCAGGACACAAAAAGGTGTGCCATTGCTTTCAATACAGCAAAGACAATCGGTACAATGCAGTCAATGAATAATTTTAAAAGTGTTTGGCACACATTTAACTTCTTAAAAACCCATGGCCTCCCAGAAATCTGCACTCGTTTTGGGTGCATACTCTGCCTATTTTTCATATGGGACCCTCACTATGCTGTTCAAAGCATGGTGTCCTTCAGGCCAACAGGCACTGCCAACACTCAGACTTCACGTCTAAAAACACAATTGCTATAAATTTCCACTTTCTACTTTCCCCCAGTATCTCTGTAAGGAAGAGCAACCTTAGACAGGGTCCTCATGTATATAATAGGAGCATACTTAGAAAGAGTATGAAGATCTGAATTAGTTGTTCCTTGACCCTTTGTTACAATACAAATATTGCAGAGTGAAATCTACTTTCAAGGACAGCTACTTGTCATTGGCTCAGAGTAAAAGTTCATGAGGGGAGGGAGGAGGAATAAAATACGTATCATCCTTTAATTCATTTACAGGCTTTATACATGCAACAGCCTATTATACATGAAACTATACCGATCCAGTTTGCTGTATTCAGCATAAATTTCTGAAGAACACTGACATGACAATATATTTCATCAAACATTAACCCTGTAATTCAGTCTAAATTGGTGCAATACTATCTGAATTAGTGTCTAATCACTCTAAAATAAATGGTATTGTTCCCTTTCACAGAATTATAATACATATCTACCTGCATCTTGCAGCTTCATGATACCAGGTAATTTTTTTCAATGTTCAAATGATTAGCAGAAATACAGAATATTAAATATTTAAAAGTAAAAAGCATGAGAAAATTAAGTCTTCAGAGCAACTTTGAAAGACACAAGTTTCAAAAAAAGGACCATTAAATGATGCCTGTTTGTAATTATTTAATTTAAATATATTTCAGTATTATCAGTGGTTATAGAACAGTTACCTGTAGCAAGTTGATGTTACTGTAAATTCATATCTTTCTATGAGACACTATTTTGCAAATTTTTTATTTCTAGTAACCTCATTCATAATGGTTCTATAAACTGATTGAGCGCTACCCCATGTGCATATGAAGAAACTGAACACAAGTCTAATATAAAGTATAATATAATTTCATGATACAGTGGCCTTAGAATTCATGACTCATTACTTAGAAGTTGAGAATTCTGCCTGCACAACTGAAAAATCAATGCAAAAACACAAAATGATCCTTTAGAAAAAGAGTTCAACACTGTAAAATTTTAAGGACTCTTCAAATAGGTCTGCAACCAGATAGCACTTGACCTGTGTCTACAATAAGAGACCCCTCCAGGAATATCTGGGAGACAGCCTCCTTCTCTTGGAATCACACTGAGTTACCCATCTTGTATTGCTGCACAGCAGTATATCATTGGTTTATATTGCTTTATAACTCATGTTATAACTTGTTTAGAATGTATAAAGGCACTTCAAATTTATAGTGTAATGTGAACATTTCATCATGTTTGTAAGATGCGCAAAAAAGCTTGAAAGTTTTGGATTCTAATGCACTCACTTATTCAGAGAATTTTAAAGATTAATATACAATTGAGAGAAGAAGTTATTTTTTGGGGATCAATGCATAAAGAGTTGGAAAAAAGTTATGGAACTTTATTCCCATACATAATAACTGCACTGAGATTATTGTATGCCCAAAGATGGAAAGATTCAGCACTACCCACAATAGAAGAGTGGTTGGTGAAGTTGATGGTACTTTCTGATTGACTGGATTCTTTGATCAGAGAAAAGATAATATTTATATTAATGGTGATTGCAAACCCCAAATCCCACTTTTTACATAAAACAAAAAATAAAAATAATTCACTCATGATGTACGGTTTTGATAATTAGACAGGGTAAATTATAGAAAGAGGAGAGTTATGTTTTGACAACCATAGAGTAAGAGATAAAGCTATAATTGTACTTATAACTGCTGTAAAATAGATTGGAAGTTATTGCTTTGTTTCCGTTTTCTTTCTTTTCTGATTTTCTTTATTTTTTCCATTCTTGCACATTTCGTTTTTCTTTTTTTTTCTTTTTCTTACTTTGTATGAGTTTGTATTCATTTTAATCTTTCTTTTTTTAAAACAATATTTAATAAAATAAAACTAAATAATTTCCCAGCATTACTATTGCAGCAAACACGAAACATCTTGTACCCAACCTAATTACATAAGATCAGATTTGAAGAATTCAAATATCAGGTTGAACAACTATTTTATTCTGGTATAAACCAGTATCATGGACTACTATGACTAAGCATAATGTACCTGCTAATTTCAATAGTGTCCGCAATTTAATTTGGGGACATTTAACTTCTACAAGTCAAAGCCAAGTCAACAGATTACTCTCTTCTACTTACCTCCACCATATGTAGCAGCCAACATAATTGAAGAAACCCATGCAATCTCACTGTATGATGTACCAAAGAAATCCTGGATTTCTTTGAAGAAGATTGCTATTCCTTTCGGGAAAGCATATGAAAATCCAATGGAAATGAATGCTCCAAAGACCACTGCCCATCCCCATTGGCCATCTGGAGGGGTATAGGCCAAACCCGTGTCTGCTGGAGGTGGCATGGCAAGATTAAATTAATTTCCTGTAAGCACTTTTCTGGAAACCCTGAAAAACAAAGTGCACACTCATAATAAGCTAATGACACATTCTCATAATTTGCTTGTTACTTTGGCATAATGTTTTCTTCTCTCTATATGCACTGTATTTCTGAATTGCAGCAGCTCCTCTAATACACAAAACAATTGCTAGAGATACCTAGAAATCTTATTTTCAAGAAAACATTTACTCTGCAGCAGGCATCTGACTATAGGTATTGATGGATTGTTTCTGCCCTCCAGCTAGCTTCAGGTAACTTTTGGGATTCTAAAAATCATAAAAAAATAATCTCCAAGAACATGAAGTTATTTATCTCTGGGTTTTATCTGATGCTTTCAATGCAATATTGTATTTCTATTTACATCCCATATAATATCCCAAATGTAGTCATAATCACAGATTAGTTAGAACACTTGCTTCTGACACAAATCACAGGTTGTTTTTTTTCTCTTGGTGTCTTTAAGTCAGCACTGATCCCAGGTGACTCTCTGGACAAGTTCATTAAGTTTTCTTGGTATGGTTTTTCAGAAAACGTGACTTGCTATTTATTCCTCCTTAAGGCTAAGAGTAATTGGCTCCAGATCATCCAGATAGTTTTGTGCCTAAAGTTGAACTAGAACTCCCAGTCTCCTAGTTTCTAACCTGATGCCTTACTCACTAATGACTCTGATTTTTAGACCACGTGAATCCCGCTTAAAGACTGAAACTTGTCATGAGTAAGTGCCAGGGATTTAAAACATAATCAGAACTGTACGAAAAATTAACCTATAAGACTAATTTTAACATCAGGTGCCTGCATAATAACTATAAAAAGTAAGTGGCACAGAAATTATTCATCAGCAAACTAATTAATCATTAGCTTTTAAAATAAATTGAAATGTCTGGACAAAAAGGAACAAGAAGGCAAGTTATTAGCAATGGTAATAACTCCATAGGATGGCAACATTTGTAAAATATTTGTATTAAGAAATAAATGATAAGTAATAAATTGTTGTGCTGCTTCCTAATCATTAACACTGTGATGTTAACCAGGGGTGGGATTCAAATTTTTTAACAACCAATTCTGTGGGCGTGGCTTAGTTGGTGGGCATGGCTTGGTGGTCATGTTATTGGCTGGGCATGGCCAACTCAATATCACTCACATCAAAGCACGCATCTCCTCCCCTGGCCTCTCATGACTGTGGGGATGCTGCAACAGTCGTAAGTGTGAAAAATGGTCATAACTCACTTTTTTCAGTGCCATTGTAACTTTGAATGGTCACTCCACACAAGCAAAGTACCACACAAGCAAAGTACCACACAAGCAAAGTACCAGCAAAGGAGGGGGAATAAACTCCAGAGAAGGTCCTGAGACAGGAAGTCTAGTCCTGCCAAGAATGTAATAAGGGTTAACGGAGAGGCAGTTTCTGTAAGCAACACCAGAATGTTTCCTTCCTGCCTTCCTTACAGAATTAGGCCAGTAATTTCTTCTAACAAATGGTTCTCCGAACTGCTTAGAATGTTAACAACCAGTTCTAGCGAATAGGTGCGAACTGGTAGAATCCCACCCGATGTTAACCATGCACTTGGTTAAACTGTACAATACAGAAAGCATGGGAATAATTATGACTTTTTCCAATTAACCCTTCCTCAGAAAATCTATCGATGTAACCCCTTTGACTACTGTATATGTCCTACTCTGAGCTCTTTAAGGTGGTCCAGATAATTCAGTTTAGACTATATTTTTTTCATCTCTACCAAAAAGAGTCGCTGACAATTCAATCTTCATGAGGAAGTAGCCTGAAAACAAGAACCAATTTAATAAGATCCCTCTCATCCCAATTCAATACCATCTCACACAGTCTCAAATATTACTTCTATACTGTGTCCTGAAGAATATATCCAGCTGATGACAGGCTTATAATAAGTTAAGACGTTGTCATGGTTGTCTCTGTGTCCTGAAATCTCAGTTGGTGGCAGCATGGGAAATGAAATACTTTGGGATAAATGCCTTGTGGTTTTTTAGCTCTGTCATATTGATTAATACATGAGTTTGCTGGATGATTTTCCACTGTTTCTTCATGTTGGTACCTAATTAAAAACATTCAAACATTCATTTGCCATTGAAAAGCTACATAGATTTCTTATTGATGGGGAAGATTTCTTATTGATGGGGGGGGGGAATCCATCCCTGGCCCTCTTTTTGTATTGGACTGCATATTTATGTGGACAATTGTATGGAATGCGAAGGATGTGTGTTTGTGTTTTATTTTTATAGTTATAATGTACACTGAAGATGGCATTTAATTTTGTTTTACGAGGTGCAATGACAATAAAGTAAACTAAACCAAACAAAGTTAAGAGAGATTTATTCTATTCATTTAACTGCAGTAATGAAACTTGCTAGGTGTTTCTCCTGTAAGTCCATAATTTTCCATCTTGCCCTCTGGATGGAATGATGGAAAATATCATTTGACCTCTGATGTAACATCTTTTAGGTATTTGGACAGTGACTATTCCTGTCATCTCAATTTCTTTAATTTCTCTTCATGGGCCTTAGTTTCTAAATCTCAAATTCTCCTTTCTACTCTTCCCCAAATTTCTTTCAGTATGCCTTACCTCTGAGGATATTAGCTATCTCCTCCAGGTTTATGTAATCTGGAAATTTAATAAACATGTGTTCTACCTTATTCAGTACTAACAAAATGTTGAAGAGTACGGGGCTAAACCATGTAATATCCCATTTGATACTTCCCTAAGATTTGGCAAGTATTTTTAAATAGAATTTTCAATCCAGTTATGTATCCACTTAATTATCATACTATCTAGCCCACACAAATTAGTTAAGAATTTTTTTTCATTGAATGACCCCAGTTTGCTCTACATATTTTTTTGCGCATGTCTTGTTATATCTAACCATCTTATTTAACTGGGTTATTCAAGCTTCAGCTTCAAACATTTCTAGCTTTGACTATTAAAATAGGATCCTCTATTCTATTTTTTGTCTCATAGGTAATAAACAAAAAGACTGCTTAAATAAGTGTAGGAAAAATAGCTCAAATATATAAAGAAGCAGATAAACAAATCAAAAAGTTTTTGCAAATGTTATGATAAAAAACTTTGAATTGTTTAATGGTAAAAATAATTAATATTATTTTGCATGCTCTAGGTTTAAAAATTGGACTGACTTAATGCTTTGATTCTTTCTTTTTTATAACTTATTTGAACCCAAGAGATGCAAAGAATGATCCATTCACACATGATTCTGCTCAAACACTAAGGACTGTCATGAAAAAAAAATCTGTCTCTAGATGTCTATGGAGATTCTCAGTCATGCAGATCATGGTTGTCCCAAAGGTATTTTTCAAAAAGCAACTGGACTTTCTTTCTTTTTTCTTGAAGACATTTTGCTTCTGATCTAAGAACTTAAGAAGCTTCTTCAATGAGAAGCGAAACATCTTTTAGGAAAAAACAAAGAAAGTCCTGTTGCCTTTTGAAAAACTCCTTTGGGACTCTCTCTGGATTCCTCATTGGGTAGTAACATCTTGTTTATATCTACTTGTCCTTATTTATTTATTGGATACAAAATTGCCAACTATTACAAAAATCAGAACATGCTGTGATGATGTCATTATTCAAAGCAATAAAACAGGGGACTTCAAACTTGACAGCTTTAAGACTTGTGGACTTCAACTCCCAGAATTCCTCCTCCAGTCATGTTAGCTCAGGAATTCTGGGAGTTGAAGTCCACAAGTCTTAAACTTGCCAAGACCCTTCCAATAAAACATCATGGTAACCACAAAGAATAAGCTAATGTCTACAATGAACTGTAATCAACATAACAAAGTACTGTACAATTAATTAGACTCAGTAATTAAACAATCTTCACACAATTACATGGGAAAACAACTGATCAATTGTAATAATAGGCAATATTTAGCCTTCAAAGCTCTTCAGAATAATTCAGTCTTTAGTGTTTTCTGGAAGGGAATCACAGGGGCACAAGTCTAACATTTATAAGGAGGCTGTTCCATAAAGAAGGACCCGAAACAAAAATGCATCCTCTCCTGGTGTAGTTTCTACACATACACAAAAGTATCTTCTAGAGCCATGGTGGCGCAGTGGTTAGAAAGCAGTATTGTAGGCTAATTCTGCTGACTGCCAACAATTCGATTCTTACTCAGTTATCCAAACTCAAGGTTGACACAGTTATCCTTCCAAAGTCAGTAAAACCAGGAGCAAGATTGTTGAGGGCAATATGCTGACTCTGTAAATTGCTTAGAGAGCTGTAAAGCACTGTGAAGTTGTATATAAATCTAAGTGCTATTGCTATTCTAGTAATTTGGAAGCCCATACTACCTTCTTCAAGGATGATCATTGATGGTTAAAGAAGACAGCTGTAAAGTTATGGGAAAGGATATAGAATGTTTATTTATTTATTAAATTTATTTGTTCTCCATCTCACCATAAGGAGATTCTTTATAGATTTTACCTATCCCCCCCCCCCCCCGCTTTTTGGGGGGGGTACTTGTTTGATTTTCTTGAAGTACTAGATTAAAAATGATAGATTGCCTTACAGAAATATTGTACCAATTTTCCTGCTTTTTAAAATCCTGGTTAAGAGCATAGGCATCCACTTCTAATTACCATGATGGAAAAATGATGACTACACCAAAGACAAACACAAAAATCACAAGTTTTGCACCACAATGACATGATATATTTCCATCAATTGTCCTCCTGCCTCCAGTTTGGATGCTGAACTTTCACTATATTTTGAGGTGAATTTAGTTGGACGTTGGAGCTTTTTTTAATGCAACAATTCACTTCAAAGGATGTGGCTAGAAGAATGTACATTTTAGATAAATAGAATGTCTATTAGCTCAATGGTGGTGCAGTGATTAGAGTGCAGTACTGCAGGCTACTTCTGCTGACTGCCGGCTGACTGCAATTTGGCAGTTAGAATCTCACCAGGCTCAAGGTTGACTCAGCCTTCCATCCTTCCAAGGTCTTTGGAAAATGAGGGCCCAGATGTTGGGGGAAATATGCTTAACTCTGTAAACTCTGTAAACTGATTAGAGAAGGCTGTAAAGCACTGTGAAGCAGTATATAAGTGCTATTGCTATTTGTCTAGTTTTAGGGTACTGAGGTCATGGTGCTTTCAGAGAATCTATAGAAAGTAATTCCAAATTTCTACTGGTATTATAATAGCTTATGTGAACTACCAACAACAACAAAATGCTATTAATTAACTTCAGAATCGGTTATTACTTAAGATCCAAAGCCATGTGTAAACTACTTCTGAGCCTCTAGGCAACTGCTCCTGAACAAAGGAAACTGACCAAAGATGCAAATCAAGACAAAACTTGATGCAATCCATTGGTGTTTTTGCCAAGGGCAGTTTCTATTGCATCTTTCTTCATATTCTTATCTAAACATCGGTGCAAATTTCTCCAAAGGAAAAATGACACATGAAGCTGAATTTCATTGTAAATACTCATGTTTAAAGAAGGGTTTTGCAAATATAAAAGAGAACTTATTTTCACACACAGTTACCTGCATGTCATTTATATTGTTTAAATATAAGTAACTGGATAGTAAGACACAACAGCTAGTGGCTGATCGCAACACAAAATTAATCAAAGTAGGGCCTGCATACTTCTTGGATGGGAGACCACCAGGAAAAGCCCTGTGGGGCAGAATGGGAAGTTGAAAAAAGCATCCTAGAGAAAGGCAATAATTGACTGCATCCATAGACAGTTAAAACTATTTGGCTGGTCTCCAGATTCTAGCTTTACTTTCTAAAATTGAAATCAATATAGGTCATAATACTCAAATAACAAGATTTTTTGTAATTCCATAGCTGACACTCTTTTGGAAAAACACCTACACAAAAATGCACGCAAGAGTCACAAGCTGCCTTTCTTTACAATGTGGTTTCATACCAAACAGGTTACAGTTTGAGCCAACAAATTCTACACTGATGTATAGAGGTGTGTCATCTGTTGCCTGCATTTGAAAACTAGTACACACAGGTAGATTTAAGCAGGTAAAACAAGGCAGCAGCTTATGCCTCTCAGCGATGCTGCTTCTACCATGCAGCCCAAAAGCAACGCATCTGTTCTCTTTCCCAGATTGAAATACTCTTTGCCCAAGTGGCCAAAAAAAAGAAAAGAAAAAGAAACACCAGAGCAGCATTCGCTTAAAGGCATAAACAATTGTTTATTTGTTTTTTAATCCTGCCTTTATTATTTTTATAAGCAGCTGGGGCAGCAAATATATCTAATAAATCCTATTTTCCCCCACGACAACCCTGTGAGGTGAGGTGAACTGGGCTGAGGAAAAGCGACTGGCTCACAGGCATCCAAGCCGGTTTTCATGCCTAAAGCAGGGTTAGAACTCGCTGTCCACCCCTGGTTGCTAGCCTGGTGCCTTAACCACTAGACCAAACATCCCTCAGCGTGACGGGCACATGCAACTCCGTAGCAGATGGCGCCGTCACAGAGGTTGAATCGTAGCCCTAGCCATGGTAACAGACCACGCTGACGAACGAAACATTTCCCTAGTTTTTCGGGACACACCGAATACACATTTGTAAACGCGCACTCTTGCACACCCACAGGACACGCTGGCAGATGACGCGAGTCCCGGCCCCTCCGAGCTCCACCACGAGTGTGTTAAAAAGCGGTCCGGCCGCCTGCGGAAAGGGTTTCCGCCACTTTCCCTGACTTTGAAACTGCGAAGTTTGGAAAGTTGAGCGACTTTGGCGCGCTTTTCCCTCCCCATCTCCCGCAGCTTCGGCTTAGGGCAGGCAGGCGCGCTTACCTTTTGCTTCAGACCAGGCAAAAGTCTGCCTGAGCGCGCTGGGCACACGAGGCGGCCGGAGAGGGGGGGGGGCGGAGACCCGGATAGGCGGAGTTTAGGTAATTGTAGGCGGGGACGGCAGGGAATCTCCCCCTCGGCCCCACATGTGACGCAAGAAGGGCGAGCTCCTCGAGGTCTTTCGCCTCTTTTGGGAGTAACCTTGGCCGGGTCACCTGCTGCCTTTAAATGGGTGCGCTCTGCCTCAAAGCGCTGTCCCAGGGAAACTCTGGCTGTGCTTTCGAGGACTTCACTGACGGCAAAGACTAAGCACCAGCAGGGACCCCCAGAAATTAAGGCAAAGAGCTTCTCTATGGATATTTTCAATCATCCAGGTCATGGTGATCCCACAGGTGCTTTTTCCAAAAGGCAACTGGACTTTCTTGGAGTTTTTGGTTTGTTTGAAAGCCTTTCTCTTCTCATCCAAAAAGCTTCTTCAGAGAAGAAAAACAAGAAAGTCCAATTGTTTCTTGGAAAAAAAACACCTTTGGCCTGGATGATTGAAAATCTCCATAGAGAGACTCTTCGCTTTCATTTCAGGCAGTCCCTTGCTGGTGCTTTGCCTTTGGCTTCAGTGAAGTCTTGTTGCCTGCTGTACTTTCTATACCTCTACATTCTATAAATTGAAGAGTTGTGGAGTTTAAACACTTTTCACCAGTTTGACACCCCTGCCTCAGGATTGAGAAATGCTGTAAGATTCCCTTTGAGAATCAGAAATGCCTTCTCACCTCATTTCCTGGTTGGTTCCATGGATGGAGAACTATCACAAGAGAAGAAAAATAATAAAAGCAGAAGCAATAATGACAACATCATCCAAATTTTGGAATAAAATGTAGACAGTAAACATTTAACTGGTTCTATATCATACTTTGAATCAAGGATTAAATAGCTTCTAAGTAATCTGCAGTGTTTTTGCTAAGAGTCTACAACAACTGAATTGCAGGATATTGTTTTTTGAGAAACAAAAGATAACCATGTTAGCTTTTTTACACTAAGCAGAGAGTTATGACCAATTCTGGCTTTCCATTTTAAGATGCATGAACTTCAATTTCCTGCTTTTTTTTTTTTAAAGTGATTTGGAGCCATTTGTGGACTCCTGGTGACTGCTTGAACTAGTCCCTGCAGTTTTCTTGGCAAGGTTTTTCAGAAATGGCTTTTCCTAGGGCTGAGAGAAACTAACTGGCCAGCTGGCTTTATACCTAAGGTGGGACTAAAACTCATGGTCTCAAAGTCTTAGCCTTAATCATTACCCCAAACTGATTCGTGAATACACTAAATAACTCTTGCTTTTTATCTATTTGGAAAATTGGGACAAAAAGTTAAAAGAAGTAGCCTCCACAGTCCAAACCCTGAAACCGATGTGGTTGTATCATAGTTCAGCTCAAGTTCTAAGGATAATTTTTGAGATTCGCAATAAAATAAAGGGGAACATTTAAGTGAAAAATTTGCACTACAGAAAGATAATAGTTATCATTACATATATATTTGTGTGGTAGAGAAGAATGACATTTCTAAATACCTGAACAATAGGTACCCTAGAACTAAGAATCATGGAACCTCATCTTTTGAAACTGATATTGGGTTTAATCTTTAAGACTCTGCACCCAGAAATTTATGAAATAGACAATTGGTGAACTGTCTAGAAACAGTTATAGAAATGCAAAAAGGAACATATATGTGCATAATGGAAATGGAAGAAAATGCTGAATCAGGCGGTGGATTCGAGGACAAATTCTATGATTGTCTGAAGGAGGCAAAACAAGACTTTAAGAAGGATGTCATTAAGGCAAACATTACAAAATTATTTCAGGAAGGAATTCTGAAGAAGGTAATGGTATCTTTAGGATCTCACTGCATCACATGGCAAGCTTGATCTTTGGGGGTCATGCCTGTAATGTCACAATGCACACAGAAAAGAGATGGGCCTTGCATTGCAACACTGCTTTCATCAACTGGATCTTTGTTGCCTCATTCCACACGCATATGGTAGGGTGCTAAACTTAGATAAATACTGTTGTATCAACAAATGAAGCCACTCTGCAATTCCTGCATTAGGCAAGAGATTGGATTAGAAGATTTTCATTTTCCATTTACTTTCTGGTCCTTTGACTCTTAGATTTTACTGGCAAACAGTAAAACAAATCACTGTGTTCAGCTGATAGCTGTCAAACTCTTAAAAGAATTTATCATGTGAAAATTGCTCCTACCCACCCCCATATAATTGTAAGCCTCAATACAACATGACTGAAAATGTGCTTTATAACGATAATTTTAAAACGATGATTGGATGGCAGGAAGGTCTAGTGAATTACACATCACTTAGCATAATATTTATTCCAGGCAAATTGATACAAAATACTATTGTTGTGTTTCTTTGAAGCAGATATAGCTATTATAAATGTTCAATTCATGAAAATGCGTCTGTTTGAATTATCCGCTTCTGTGTTTCCGTTTCCCCCCTACCTTTGCTCCAGTTCTAACTTGTAGATTGTAAGAATAAACAAAGACTATTGAGAAAGCTGAAGCATTGATTTCTCATTGAGCTGAGTGAGTTTTACCTTTCTTTCTAGTTAGATGAAGGGTCATATAGCAAACATTTTTTTACGTATAAAATGATTAAGCATTTAAAAGGCTTTATAAAGAAGCATCACTAAAGATAAATCCTGTCTCATTAAGTACCAAGCATGTCAACAACTAGGTAGATAGCGGTAGAAATTATTTAGTGTTTCAAAAAGCTTTTGACAGAATCAGATTTAGCAATTAGGGTAAAAAAGGAGAGGTCCTCTTATGGATCACTGTTCTTTAAAGCTCATCAGCTTTCCATTATATTTGAAATATTCCTAGGGTAGCACAAGATACATGCATTCACAAGCCTTCACATCCAAAAATGACATTGTTCTTTATTCCTTGCAATTAGGCAGGTGTGATGGCTCAGCGGTTAAAAATGCTGACCTTGTCCGTTGGAAAGCTGACAGCCCAGGTTTGAGACCCAAGCACAGTATGACAGGATGTGTGCCCGTTACTTGCCTCAGCTCCTGCCAAAGCATGCAAATAATGTACTTACATTAATAGGTACCACTTTCAGTAGGAAGGAAATTGCTTTCCATGCATCTCTGGAATATAGTCATGCTGGCCACATGACCACAGAAATGGTTTTCGGACATTCGAAATTGTTTTTAGCACCCTCAACCAAGAAACGGAGATTAGTACCTTGCCCTATGGTTGGACACAACAGAGGTGGTATTCAGAAGGTTGTGACCAGTTCTGGAGAACCAGTAGCGGAAATTTTGAGTAATTTGGACAACCGGCAAATACCACCTCTGACTGAAGATTTTACAGTATCCTGCCCCTACCACACCCACCAAGCCACGCCCACAGAACCGGTAGTAAAAAAAATTGAATCCCACCACTGGGACACAACTATTGTAGACAGGGAAACCTTTGCCTTTTATTCCTTACAATTATTGTTAACAAGCCAAGAAAAGTTAACATTCCGATCCATCCAAGAATATTTCAATTGGTTGGCATGAAATTTACTTAGGAAAGCAAACAGCTCAAAACATTTTCTGCTTTGTGCCCTTGTAGGACTGGTATAGCTAGTTTTAGCCAGCATAAACCCATGATGTTAAAAAAAAAAAAAATCTTCATTTTGCTTTTAGGTGCTTAAGTTTCCCTTTCCCTACTCTTTCCTGCTGCAGATAAATGAGCTAAAAAGTTTTGCATACTTAATTTTCAGCCTTATCAAGGAGGAAAAGAAAGGGCATTTTAGTAATGAACCGACCTGGGAGGATCATTCTCTACAGGGCTGAGAATAACTTTGTTGCTTGTTGCAGGGCTGTCTTAATGCATGGGCCTGATGGGCACTTGCCGGTGGGCCCCAGAAGCATAGGGGCCCCATACTAATCTGTGTATGTTAACCCTTCAATGCAACTTGTCTCATATAAATAGAGCAACTGTATGGCTTAGTTGTCATAGGGGCCCTAGTACACTGCTTTGCCCTGGGCCCATAATGCTGTTAAGACGACCCTGGTCTGTTGCCTGTTGCTTGCTAATGATTGTGTGCCTATGTTTTCCAAAAGTGAATTAAACCTATGCCAATTTGTGTGCAGATAGACACCGACTTACAACCGTTTGCTTGATGAACATTATTCAAACTTATGACCAATGCAGCATCTCCACAGTATCAAAATTCCAACACTTGGCAACTGGCATGTATTTGTGACAGTTGCAATGTTGTGGATCATGTGATCACCTTTTGTGACCTTCTGACAAGCAAAGTAAATTGGGAAGTTGGAATCACTGAACAACTGCAGTGATTAACAGCTGTGGCCATAAAGGTCCTAAATGGGGCAGAAATTCCTTAACAACTGTCTTTTTTAGTAACAGACATTTTGGGTTCAATTGTGGTTGTAAAGTCGAGGGGCTCTTGATTTGTGATGTAGTCCCAAGAGTACACCTGATCTCTGTAAACCACTGACTCTGTAAACTGCTTAGAGAGGGCTGTAAAAAGCACTGCGAAGCAGTATATAAGTCTTAGTGCTATTGCTAAGCTGGAAGATAGAAGAATAAGATAAAGAGACTGGTTTTCTACAGTAAAACAGCTGTGCTTGTGGGGGGAAAACAGACATGGGTTCTTGATCTGGGTTCTGTACCCTACTAAGAAAAACACGTCAAAATAAATGTGCTAGCCAATATACAAAGAACTGGGATACAGGGTTACCTTATCTGATGTTTCCCTCTAGGAGGTACCTCAAGCATCAACAGTTTTAACCCACTTGATTCGGTATAGATCAGACAACCTAGAGCCGTGATGGTGAACCTATGGCACACGTGCCAGAGGTGGCACGAAGAGCCCTCTCTGTGGGCATGTGAACCATCACCCCCAGCTCAGCCTTGCTGCTGGCCAGCTGGTCTGTGGGTGTCTGCCACTCATGCGCGGGGAGTGGGGTGCATGCAGGGCATAAGGCGCATGCGCAGGGATGCTTGCACATGTGGGGGGCAGGGAGCATATGCAGGGATGTTTGTGCATGTGA